TTTGCTGACCCTATTTAAAAAATGAAGTTTAAAAAAAATAATAATTTCCTTCTGTAAGACAAAATGCAGATAAATAGCCAATAGGCAAACAATGTGTGAGGAGTTTCTCTTCTAATGCCCATTTTTTAGAATATTATGTAACCATAAAAAGAAATGAAATCCTACATTCATGGATAAATGTTGAAAACGTTATGCTGAGTGAAATAAGTTAATCACAAAAGGACAAATATTATATGATCTCCCTTATATGAAATAGGTAAATATATAGAAACCAAAGATTATTCGTGGTTGCTAGGAACAGGAAAGAGTGGGTAAGGGGGAATCTTTGCTTAAGGGGCACTGAGTTTTTGTTAATGGTGATGTAATAATTTGGAAATAGTGGTGATGGTTGCACAACACGATGAACGTAACCAATGCCACTGAATTGTACATGTAAAAAAAATATTCAGTTGATCAATGTTTCATATATATGTTGTTGTTGTTGTTTGCCGTCGAGTCGGCCCCAACTCCTAGCGACCCCTCCTTGGGTTTCCGAGGCAGTATCACTACGGAAGTAGGATTGCTCAATCTTCCTTCTGAGGAGTGGCTGGTGGGTTTGAACCGCCAGCCTTCTGGTTAGCAGTCAAGTGCATTAGGCACTATGCTACCAGAGCTCCTGTTTCACATACACACACACACACACACACACACACATATGTATGTATGTATATACTTCCGTAGTGATAACTGCCTCGGAAACCCAAGGAGGGGTCGCTAGGAGTTGGGGCCGACTCAATGGCAAATAACAACAAAATACAGTAAAACAAAAAACAAAGACATATTGTGCAGACAAGTAATGAAAACAGTGGAGCATGGGCACAGGACTTGACAAACCAGCCAGAGGGAACAGAAACTAGAAAGTGTCCCTGAAGGGTTAATAAATAGTCAATGAGGCATATCAAAATTGGGATGGGAAGAAGGAATGTTCACTCTATGCATAAACAGTGGACTGTAAAAGTGCTGACCTGGAGCTCAGGAACCATAGATGAGATGCCTGTATACCACATTACACAAGAACCAGTAATTGTAGCCCCTACCCCACCCTGGGCTTGGAAACTTCTGGAACATAGGCTCAGCCCTAGGGAAAAGTATTACATTAAATCAGGGGGTCCCAAGGGTGAGGTGCTACTGGCATCTAGTGGGTAGAGGCTGGGGATGCTGCTAAACATCTTAGACAGCTACACAATACACAGAACAGCTCCCCAACCCTAACAACAAAGAATTATCCCATCCAATACATCAGTAATGAGAGGTTCAGAAACACTGTTCTAAACATATGTCCATTCCTTGCACAGCCTCTGACCTGTTCTTCCTAAAAGGTCAGCCCCCAGTGCTGGATGTGGAAGGTCTAGAAAGCAAGAACCCCTGTCACGTCTGATCCAGTCTACCAGGGAGTGACTGGGACTTTCCACCTCTAGCTCCCAGAACTGGAAGCTGTGCCACCCACCCTTCCTGCTGAGGAACTTTCTGTTTGGACCTGCCCAAACCTTGACCCTCAACAGCTGCTACTCCCCCTGCCCACACTCCCTGCCCTTGGCAGACCTTCCCTGTGCATTGCATAGGCTGCTGGCCCAGAATCCTTGGGAATGTTCCTGACCTTTGCTTTGGTTTCCTCCAGTTCTTGGCAGCATCTTGCTGGCCCTCTGCACTCCATGCCCCCAACTCAGCTTGCCCAAAACCACATTGTTTACATCCCCTTGCCGCCCTTCTCATCTCAGGCATACTCTATTTTTGTGTACTCCCTTCGGGGCAAAGCTAGTGCCCTCAGAGCTGGTCTACTGAGGGACATTGCCAGCCTGGAGTGAGTGCAGGGGACCCTCCAGCTTGTTTGAGCCTGCCTTTGACTTCTGACATCCCTGCCCCAACTTAATCCACCACTGACCTCTCAGGGGTTCTAAAATGAGAGGTAGGAAGCCTGGGTTCTCATCCTCTTCCCCTCCCTGGACTCCCAATGACCTTGAGCAAAGAGGGCCCTACCCCCTCCTGCCAACCTCTAGTCCTAGAAATACAAAGATTCCCTTTCCCTGGCCCTCTCTAAGGGTACAGATAAAGGGTATGGGGAAGATAGAAAATGCCTTGAAATGCAAAGGGCTGTTAGCTAAGCCTCCTGAATTATAGATGTGCCTAAATATTTCTTAACTAGCCAGTAACCCCACATCCTTGCTTTCTGAGGCCTCAATCCTCCTGCCATGAACTCACAGGGCTTTGTCCCTGAGGCAGGAAATGACCTTAGCAGAGGGGCTGAGACTCCTTGGGCATGTAGCCCAGAGCTCCAGAACTGTGTTCCTAGGAGGGCTCTTCCCCATTCATGCCCTGGGCCCTGAGCCTCTGAAAATGGGAACAGGCCCTGAAGCTGCAGCGTGGACCAGAAAGCACAGGCTGCACTCTACATCTGTTCCTTTGTGACTGCCAGTGACATGCTCAACTCCTCTGGGCCAGGGTCAGGGGGACCCTGATACTGGTGTGGGAAGCTGGACAGTTGGACTCCCGTATCTGCACATTCACACTTCTGTCCCTCCTGGCAAGTTTGTAAGAAAAATGCCTGAGTCCGTCCCCATCACAGACTCACTCCCATTCAGAAAGCAAGTCTGGGTGTGAGAAGCCCAAATTCTATCCTGCAGCTCTCCCCAACCCTCTAAAGCTGGCAGTATGGAATGAAGAATCCTTTCCTTCTGGGTCTATGGGGCAGCTGTGCACCATGCCAGGCCCCACAGGACCTCTGGGGAGGCAGCTGGCCACATGCTTCTTTCACATATAGAGTCATGGGGACTCTTTGTGATCAGGAACCAAGTCTGCTCTGTCCTTCAAAGGGCTTATCTGAGCCTGTGTTTGGAGCCTGGACTAGTGCTCAGGAAACAGGTGTGAAGAATAATACTGATGAGGGGCTGCCTAGCCCACCAGGCATGAGTGTAGAGCAGCCAGGGGCAAGGGATCCTATTTGCTCTGCTCTTGCCCCCTTCCCTGTTTCCATCTCTCCCTTCACAGGAGAACGGGAAGTCAGGAAGCCGTCAGCCAGCAGGGCTTCCTTCCTTTCTCACCAGCCCCTGGGGACCTTGGCAACTTAGCCTGACCAATGGGGACTCACACAAGTTCTGGGACTGGGGGCCACTGTGATAAAGAAACCTAGTTGGCCTGTGGGTCTCTGGGACACCCCAGGACTGGGGCCTCGGGGAGCCAAGGTGTTCCTGGGCTGGTGTGCTCTGCTCACACCCTCATTCCCATACCAGGATGTCCAGGGAGGTGCCAAGTGGCCCTAAGTAGTCCCTGATGGGCAAGCCTCCCTCCTTGGGACTATAGACATGCCACACCTCCCACAGTCAAAGGGGTGAAGAAAAGGGGAGCATCCACTATGGTCCTGGAAGGCTCCCTCCCATCAAAGAGACTAAGGCTGCCTGGAGGCAAGGCATGGAGCTAAGTGCCTTGGGAGAGAAGGCTTCATCCCTAGTCCTGAAATCAAAGCTAGGTGGCTGGATTCCCCCTCAAAGAATCACCTTGCATCTCCAGCCCTGATCAGAACTAGGAGCGGAAATGGTGTCTCAAATGTCAATCTTCTCAGGCCACTCCTCCTTGCATTGTCAGCCCCTCCCACATGAAGGGTATTATTTTCATCCTCCTTCCTCCCCCTGGTCAAACCTAAGAAACACATTCTGTCTTGAAGTGTCAGAAGCTGAATATAAGACAGATCAGGCAGAGTTCTTGGTCAAAGCAATGGTGAACACCAGGCATGCACATGGATAATCCTGGTGGATGTAACCTGATCCCTCATCCTCCATATCATAAAGGCACCCTCCCACAAGTCTGTGTGTGTGTGTGTGTGTGTGTGTGTGTGAGGGGACACAGAGGCATCTAAGGGGGACTGCCTCTGAGTGCTCCAGGGGCCAGATTCAGATCTTGGTTCAGGCTCTCCTTTGCTGTGTGACCTTGGGCATGGTGCTTAGCCTCTCTGAGCTAAAGGCTCCTCCTCTGTAAATGGGGCTGTTGGGAGGATTAACTAACACTTAGCCAAGTGCCTAGCCAAGGAAACAGTGGCTGCTCTGATTGGGCATGTTGGAAGTGAGGTCCCCAGGCTACCCTTGAACTCTGAGGAGGGTCCCAGACTCACAGGCCCAGGAAAGTCTCTAACCTAGACAAATGAGAAGTTGGAAATGCTGTCCTGGGTCCGTTCCCACTTCTTGAGGGGTGCTGAAGCCTATCAAGCCTCAGGGCCTCTGGAGAGCAGGGCACCTCTCTGTTCAGGGCTAGGCACTCAATGTCAGGCTGCCGGCCCCACTCAGTCCCCCTCAGCAGTTGGGTCAAAATCTCATCATCTGGAGCATCTGGTCCTCCCTGATGTGGGCCAGGCCAGCCCACAGGCCTTGCTGGGGCTCGGCTTTCAGAAATGGTTTTCTTTCAAGGGCAGGAGCCACTGCTAGCCCAGGGGATATATCTGGAGCCTCAGTCCCTCAGCATCCCATGCTGGGTGTCTGATGGCAAGAAGCTGCTCCTACCCTACCCATGGCCCTGGCCCAGTTTCCTGCCACAGGTCAGGCAGGAAGCTCCCTATCCTCCTTATCCTAGTTCTGGAGTTCCTGGCCCAGTGCTGGCTGGGATAGTTGCTTAAAGAGGAGCTTAGCTCCTGGCACCTCATTCAGCGCCCCCAGCTGTCCCAAAAAAACTCAAACTAAACTGACTGCCATAGAGTTGATTTGACTCATAGCAACCCCTCCTTGGGTTTCTGAGGCAGTATCTCTATGGAAGTAGATTGCCCAGTCTTCTTTCCAAGTAGTGGCTAGTGGGTTTGAACTGCCAGCCTTCTGGATAGAAGTCAAATGCCTTAGGCACTATGCCACCAGAGCTCCCCCAGCTGTCCCAGCAGATGAATAATATTAGCTCATTTCACAGATGAGCAACTGAGGCTCATTGGCAGAGCCAGGAGGAAAATCCTACACCATGACCTCCCCTGAGATCCAGGCCCTCCTTACCGTCTGTTGGGATTACTGTTGATGTCCTCAGTCTCTGCACCCCAGATGCCAGGCCACCTGGAGATGTGTGGGCCAGAGAACCTGGCATCAGGGGCCTGGGCACAGGCCCCCAGAAGCCCCCATCCTAGGGGTCCTCCGAGGCCAAGCAGCAGTGTCAGAATCATCTCTGCCACTGGGACAGGCTTAGGCTGGGCTTGGCCAAGTGACTCCAGAAACTGCCAGTGACGTAGTCCTCAAATTAAGTCTCAGAAGGAAAAGAAAACACGAGAACAACAAAGAGAGGAAGTAGCCTGGGCTGGCCCACTGGTAGGCCCCCCTTGGCCCTGCCTGGCCCATCTGAGGCAGCCAACACGCCAACAAAGCAGACTGGTTCCTATACCCCAAGAGGACTGGGGTCAGGGACACTGATGCTATGGGGAGGCACAGGAAGGTAGCCCCACCAAATATGTTCCCTGGAAGCCTGGTCCCTGGAAGCAGAAAAACATAGCCTTGTGATTAGTCTGTAGGAAGTGGTCACATCAGACTTGGGAGACCTGCTGGCCATGAAGTGAGGGGCAGTTCATACCTACTCAGCACTTTTCACCACTGGGCTGTGGTAGTCAGCACAAGAGAAAGAGAAGGAAGCTCTTGTGTGCCCCTCCCCCTTTTCCCTTGAGGTGGCTTTGCTAGAGCCCTGGGTTAGGAGCACTCAGTGTGCCAAGGGAGTAGCTGTGCAGCCCAGGCCAGTCTGGGAGGTTGGCTGATTTCATCTGATAGGCCTGTGGGGCCCTGACCCCTACCCTACCTGGGGCACTTCAAACATTGGCAAGAATTCCTTCATTTTCTGCTTCTATTTCCCCTGATGAGAACAGCCCCCTGTGGGTAGGCAGGGCAGCTGAATGAAGGGCAGTTACGGATAAGAAGAGGGCCTGCCCTTACAGCCCCTCCTCCTGCAGGGAGAAATGGAGCAGAAGTGAGGACTTGTCCTACTGCCTGAGGTGGTGGGGGAGGGGAGGGCGGGGCTGGAGCCTTTCCTCCCTTCTTCCCTCCCTCTTTCCTCCTTAGCCTCCCTTCCCTGGCTGGCTAGACACCAACTGGTCACCGCATCAATATTTCATTGGCATCTATAAGAGGCAGTGGAGACAATAAGAGGCAGCAGAGACGATAAGAGGCAGAAGAGACAGCAGCTGCTGCAGCCTGGCCAGCTCAGAGTCTGCAGCACAAAGGGCATCAGTTCTCCATCCCTGTCCTCCACCATGGATGTCTTCAAGAAGGGCTTCTCTATTGCCAAGGAGGGTGTGGTGGGCGCTGTGGAAAAGACCAAGCAGGGGGTGACTGAAGCAGCTGAGAAGACCAAAGAAGGGGTCATGTATGTGGGTAAGTAGAGGTACAGTAGGGTGGGGCAAGTGGGCAGGGCTATGGTGGTGGAGAGTGGAGGGACTGGCAGCCCAGATCCCTTTGGTCTGACCTTCCTTTCAGGCTCATGGAGGTATTGGGGTGAGAACTTGACTGTTTAGCCCATCTCTCCAGGCCCTGTAGCACACTCTACCCTTTGTACACACCAGTGTCTGTTTGCCTCTATGCCTGGGGGATCCTTAAAAGTCCCCAGGCGTCTCTGGGATGGGACAAGAGAGGACTCAGACCTCAGACATAGCCCAGCCTGGGCTGATGCCTCAGGTCACCCAACTGAGCAGCTGACCACCTATTTGTATGGATACAAATGCATGTACAAGCGCACACACACAGACACACACAGCCCACAGCCTCAGCATCACTTACAGGTCCCCGGACCCAGACAAGATATGATACTAAGCCTGGACCCCTGCTTGTCCATACCACTTATGTGAACATAACCCCACTTAGACCCCAGGCCTTACTGTGAGCAGACAGGTGCTCAGGTGGGCTCTCTTGCCTTCTTCACACAGAGCTAACTTCAGCTAGCATCCAGAGCACAGATCCCCACCCTGCCCGGAGGGGAGGGGGAGAGTTCGGGGAGACAAGACAGAGGCTCAGTATCCATCTCTCACTATCCCCCACTTGGCCCCTTGGACGAGAAGGAGACTGAGTGGATGACTCAGCTTTCAGCTGTCCTGTCTTGCTGCTGCTTCTGGGTACCAGGGCTACACCTGGGCAAGGGCCTATACTCTGAGCCCAGTCAGCTCAGGCACCAGTGCCATTACCTCAGGCCTGGTCTCTTTATTCCCCTTAATCTGTCTTCTCCCCTCCCTGTTCTGTCTACTTCCTCTAGACACTGTAGGAAGTAGTCCTTTGAAAAGGCTACAGCATCCCCAGACACCATCTCTCACACCCCTACTGACCCCACAGCATGTACAGCTGTTCTGTGATATTTGCCCTAATTCCCCAACACTTCTTGGGCTGATCATTTCCTTCCCAGGAGCCAAGACCAAAGAGGGTGTTGTGCAGAGCGTGACCTCAGGTAAGGAGCCCCCAGGACCGAGGGATAAGAGAACTGAGACCACCTAGGACTCTTGCCCCTTAGTACTGAGCACCCAAGCCCAAGGACTACCTTACCCTCTAACTGGGGCTCCAAGCCCCACACGGACCTAGATCCCTCCAGATTCTGAGGCCAAACCCTAACTGGGCTGAACCCAAGTCAGAAAGTGGGGAGCCTAGAGTGTTTGCAGAGCCAGAATTTTGAGTTCCCTGGAAAAGGAGCTGTTCCTGCTTAACTTGGTAGGACCAGGCCCAGATGGGGAAGGGTTAGGGTAGAGGCCAGAACTATTTCCCACAGTCGCTGAGAAGACCAAGGAACAGGCCAATGCAGTGAGTGAGGCCGTGGTAACCAGCGTCAACACCGTGGCCACCAAGACTGTAGAGGAGGCAGAGAACATCGCAATCACCTCTGGGGTCATGCAAAAGGTGAGCCCTGGTCCCCATTCCTTGCCTTGGCCTAACCCCTCCTTTCTCTGGGAGGCATGCTTATTCCACAGGACAGCTAGGGAAACAGACCCTCAGGGGCCTGATTTAGCTTCAGAGTCAACACTAGTTGCATACCTACTGGGTGCCAGGGTCTGTGCACATCCATTAATGCTTGAATCTTCACATCACCACCTTTGAAAAGTTTTGAGCCTACTTTATAGATGTGGAAAGTGGGTTTCAAAACCACTCCCTCTGAATGACAATCAGCATTTAGGAAATACCATATTTGACAAGTGAAAACAAGGTCCTGTGGGCCACACATATGGACAGGCAGCCTCCACACAAATGGACACCACGCCAGAGCTGCTGAATCACCACCCACACATAGGTTAGCTTCCCTTCCAATTGGGCCCAAATAATGCCTTTTCCGGGAGCTCTGGTAGCATAGTGGCTAAGACACCTGCCTGCTAACCAGACGGCTGGCGGTTCAAACCCACCAGCCACTCCCTCGGACGGAAGGTTGGGCAATCCTACTTCCGTAGTGATACTGCCTCGGAAACCCAAGGAGGGGTCGCTATGAGTCAGGTTTGACTCGAAGGCACATAACAACAACAACAACAATGCCTTTTCTTGGGAGAAGCAATGAAGTAGCGCCCTCTGGTGATGGGAAAGCGTTAAGTGCTCTGAGCCCCACCCTGCATCTCTGTGTTTGTGTATATGTGTCCTGACAGCTGACCACTCAGGTGCAGTGGTCTGTGTGTCTGTCTCCAGTTTGGTGCAAGGCTGTCTTCCAGAAAACTGGTATTGATTATATGGTATTATTAAGGGGCTCCCAGTGCACCTAGCACTGAGAATGGGAGTGGGTGTGTAGGATAGAGAACCTTCCCTGCTCCTGGTTCTGGGGTTGGGGCCTGAGTCTGCTTCCAGGGGCCTCCAACTGTCTGCACAGGGTCCCTATATCCTTGGAGCAGGTAGCTGCTCACCTCTCGACACCCAGCTCTGCCCCTATCTAGATGTCTCACCTTGAAAAGTTACTTAACCTCTCTGGGTCTCCATTTCCTCATCTATAAAATGAGGGTGAGAGTATCGGTCCCATCGTACTATATTCAGGAAAGTGGACCACATTTAGCATGTGGCTCATGGTGTGAAACCAACAAATGATGGTGATTATATCATCGTCATCATCATCAGAGGCCCATAAATGGAGAAGTCCAGTCTCATACCAGGCTCCTTCCCTCCACACCCTCTAGCAAAAGAGGACCTGGAATGGGGCCAGGGAGGAGGGCTGGTGAGACCTTGGAGCTGCCCCAGGCCCAGGATGGGGGTGGCTACCCCAAAGGAAAATAATTTCCTGGTGACACCTAAAAACTAGTCACAATTTACCCCACAGTGAACTGTGAAGGATGTAGCAATGCCTGCTTGACTGCTTATGCCACCAGCCCCATCCATCCACCTTGGGACAGCAAGGCCTATGTGGGTAGTCACCTATTTTTCTCCTGGAGAATCTGTCCCATCTCTGGGTGACAGTTCAGTGTCCTTTTATTTCCCACTCTAGCAAGAGGCAGCATGACCTTATGGTGGCACAGAAATGGCAGGTCCCTCCACCTCACCCAGTCTGGCCCTGCCTACCTCACCTGTCACATGATCACTTCCCAGGCAAGCTCCAAACTTAGCAAGTGTCTGGCTGACCTGGAGTGTAGGAGGCATCCATGTTACTGATGACAAAGGTGTGCCTGGACCAAGCCAGACCTGATCCCTCCAGCCACTGCTTTGGAGCTCTGAGGCCTTGAGCTGGATACCTAACCTCCCTGGGATCAGGCTTCCAGTATGTAAACAATAATGATACACACATCCTCCTAGGGCTGTTTGAAGGCTGAGTAAGACAAGGGTGTGAGGTCATGTGATTCAGGGTAGGGTCAGGCCTGGGAGCCTCTGCCCACCCCCACCCCACCCAGAATCCAGTGTCCTCATCAAGAAGGCAGGATGAAGGACTACCCAGGGACTTGGGGATCAGCTTATGGGTGAAGCTGGGCTCCCTGCTACTTGGTATGCCCAGAAGGCCTTTGTGTTATCTGACAGGGCCACATCTGTGGGCCCTTCAATGATGTTCTAAGCCACCCTCATGGTCAGTCTGACTCTCAAACCTCCCTTACCTCTAGTCCCTCCATGCCTGGGAGAAGGGCAACTGGGGGCCTCTGCACCCTCCGCATGGCCTCCACTCCCCTTTGCACTCAACAGGACTTGGTGCAACCTGCTCCCCCACAGGAAGATGAAGCAGCCAAAGAGGAAGAAGGAGTGTCTGAGGAGGTAGGATCTGGGTCCTCAGGGGGCACCCAACCCCACCCATTCTTACCTTGTGGGTGTCCCTGGGCAAGCCCTCCTCTAGACCAGGATTGTGGGCAGGGATCTCTACCCCCACAGACTTGCTGCTTCCTTCCTGAAACCCAGATCTTTCAGGGGAGCCCTCCCTTTTGCAGCCCTCTGGCAGGGACTGTGGGCAGGGCCAACCCTGAGCCTGAGGATGATGTCACAGATGATGCCCTTTCCCTCCCCACTCAACTTGGATCTAGGAAGGTCACCAAGGGTTGAGGCCTGGAGCTGTGTATGAGGGTCACTTTCTCTCCCAGGCTGAGAGTGGGGGAAACTAGAGGGCTGGAATCGCTGAGGAGGCCCCGAGGCACCACCCCTTTGCCTTGGACCCCATCTCTTCCTGGCAAAAGGAGTGCCAGCCCTGGAGTGTGACCCCACAGGGTTGCACCTGCTGCCAGCACCCAAGGCTTGTCCTTCCACACTGCTGCCATACCATGACTGTCTTTACCTCCCTCCCTGCTTCCTTCCCTTCCTCCTTCTTGTCCTCTGACCCCATAGATGCTGTGAATTTTTGGTTTTGTTTTTTATGATTCCAAATAAAACTGAAGTCCACATCCCTGGCCATGCAGCCCTGTGTTTCCTCTCTATTGCTTGCTCATTTGTAAAAAAAATCTTCTGGGCCCTCCTGAGACAGGAATAAGTGCAGCCTGTCATCTAAGTCAGGGAAATAGGTTTCAGGCCAGGTACCCTATGGGGACATACTGGGTGTTTCTGGAAGCTGCTGAGAGCAGGCCTTTAGCCCCACCCCACTCACATCCTGACAATCACACCGTCCGCAGTAGTGCAGGCGCCAAATACCCCTGTATTTTGAACTTTGGCTCTACCTCTTTAGGGAATGGGTATACCAAACACCCTCACTGGGCCAGATGGTAACTTTTAAAAGTGGAGAAATTTAAATCCACAGTGAGACCAAGAGCACCCTCACTGGCAGAGACACCACCTGCACCCGGGGCCCCTTCACCCAGACCCACCTAGGCTTAAGTTCCCAGCTGAGCTGGAGCTTGGTTTTCCTTCCTTTGCCAAGAAGTCCCTCCAGGTTTCATTAAAACAAACTGCAGCAAGATGCAGGTAGCCTTCTGAGGGGAGAGAGGTTCATCCTTTAGTGAAAACAAATATTTATTGAGTTCCTATGAGGTGTGGGGCACTGTTCTGAGCACTTTGCCTACGTGATCCTCAGAATAAGTCTTGGTAGTAAATGGTGCTATCTCAGTTTCACCAAGAAGGAAACTGAGGAACAGAAAGGTTAGAAAGGAGGAGTCTGGCAGCCTGGCTGAGAGCCATCCTGTTGACTCCCATGCTCAGCTCCATGTTCAACTCCAACCAGTGGACTCCACGAGCAGTGTGCTTATAGCAGATTGTCTCCCCACAACCCTGAGGTTTCAAAACAACCTGGAGTCCAGCTGATCAGGGTCCACACAAAGAGACTGTATGTAGCATGCCCTGGAGGCCTTGTCAGTTTCTCTGGGGACTCTTTGATATCTGTACAGTGGGGCTCAGAGCATCTAAGTGACTTAGCCAAGGCCTCAGTCCTGAGTGTCTGAGCTGGAGCTTGAGTCCACACCTGGCTCCAGAGACTACCTATCCTTATAGGCCCACCTTATTGGGCCTCCAGGGTGAGGAGCAGGGGTCCAGGGAAGCCCAAGGGCTGGGACCCAAAAAGCACAGCTGAGCTGGATGGTATCCTGACCTGCTGGCCCTAGGCAGCCAGTGCTGAGGAGGCAGAAAGCTTCAGGGGGTGGCAGGATCCTTCTGCCTCATAAACCCTACTTTGGGTAAGAGTAAGAGGGTCTAGAAGAGGCTTGGGGCAGTAGGGGTGTCTCTGCTCCCTGGCCCAGACATATGCAGATCAGCAGGACTGTGCATGCCCCAGAAAGAGGTTCACCTGGGCCTGGGTGTGCCTGAAAGCTCTCTCACCTAGAAGAGAAAGCAGGGAGGGGTAGAGCTGGCTAGCTCAGGCAACTGGAGGTGGGGGTGGGTAGCAGCATTTCACTATAATCCCAATGTTCTCTGCTCCACTCCAAGGAGCCTGGAAGAGTCCCTGCTGCCTGTCCCTACCACAGACACACACTCAAGGCCTGGACCTGAGTTCAAATGCAAAACATCAAGGTCTACCTGTTCCAGAATAGGTCTTTTCCCTACCCCATCGGCACCGCTAAACCTCCTATGTTGTGCTAGGGACTCTGTGAAATGGCATCTGACCTCCCTAGGCATTCTGGTTACCTAGTGCTGCTTTGACAAGAATATACCACAAATGGGATGGCTTGAAGTTTATTCTCCCACAGTTTGGAGGCTTTAAGTCTGAGTTCAAAATGCCAGGCTCTAGGGGCTGCATGAAAGCCCCTCAACCTTGGGCTTCAGCTCTGCCTCCTGCTTCTGGCCCACTGAAGCTAGAGGCTTTTCTTCACTCAGACAGCTGCTGGCTGCTGAGATTGACAAGCCCAAGGTTGACAAGTAAAAAGGCACAGTCCCAATGTTACCAAACGACATGGCAGGCCATTAATTCAAGTCCATTGAAAGTCCCAAGGTCAGCAAGCATGGCAGGCTGCTGAACAACGATATAGCTACATGCAAGATTCAAGAGTGCCATAAGCTAGAGATCATTCCCAAAGCTGTTTCTTATATATGGGAAGCAGACCATATACCCAAAGCAGCTACTCAGCTGCTCCAATAGATCCACCATGGAATTAATTACCAGTCTCACCATGCAGAATGACTACGTTCAGCTTCCCAGCCACTCAACCAGGCCCAGCCAAGCTGACACACAAACTTAACCACCACACTAGAGAAATATGCTCTTGATGCTTCCAGAGAAGCCCAGAACCCTGACGTCTCTTTCAGGCACCTCTGCTGTGACGTGGGCACCCCCAGTTCATTTAATCCTCACAGTAACACTTTGGGGAGATTCTATTATCTCCACATCATGAATGGGAACACTAAGGCTCAGAGAGGGGAGAGGACTACTAGCCTTAGGGGGTATGTGAATCCAAAAGGTCCGACTCCAGAGCCTGCTGCTTATGAGTCCCTCTGAGCCATCTCACCCATCACCTACTCCAGAACTGGCTGCCTCTCTACGCAGAGGCTGCTGCCTCCAAGTCTTGCTCCTTGTCCACTGGGCCTGGCACCACATCACATCCCCAGTGTGTACAAAGTGAACTGAAGCAAACAAAACAAAAATGTTGAAAACTTGCACTGCACACTTGCTGGTTCCCATGAGTCAGAATCAATTGGACTGCAACTAACAACAACAATGGCAAGCCCCAGGCAGGGGTTGGGCTGGGCTCCCTGAGTGCCAGGGCAGCAGTCAGGTGTCTTTCCTCCATGCCTTTGTGCCCTGGGCAGGGCCAGCTCAGGGCAGCAGCTGGGCAGGCACTGGCTGAAGCTTTGTCCAAGCCTGGTGTTTCGGTTACCTCTGGTGCTGCTCTGAGAGGAATATACCACAAATGGGACGGCCTTAACAAACAGGAGTTTATTCTCTTATAGTTTGGAGGCTTTAAGTCCAAGTTCAAAGTGCCAGGCTCTAAGGGCTGGGTGAAAGCCCCTCAGCCTTGGGTTTCAGCTCTGCCTCCTGCTTCCGGCCCACTGAAGCAGGCTTTTCTTCACTCACTTTTCTTCACAGCTGGCTGCTGACGCTGATAAGCCCAAGGTTGACAAGTGAAAAGACAGTCCCAATATTGCCAAACCCCATGGCAGGCCATTAATTCAAGTCCATTGAAAGTCCCAGGATTGGTAGAGCATGGCAGGTGGCTGAACAACGACACAGCTACATGCAGGGCTCAAGTGTGCCATAAACTAGAGATTATCCCCCAGACTTCTCCTTATGTTCAGGAAGCAGACCACATCCCTAAGGCAGCTACTCTGCTGCTCACAGTAGATACCATCATGGAGGTGATTACCAGTCTCATCATGGGGAAAACTACATCTAGCTGCCCAGCCACTCAACCAGGCCCAGCCAAGTTGACACACAAACTTAACTACCACCCCTCACTCCCACCTATCTCATTGTCTGCCCCTTCGTCTTGCTCAGGGTTGACGCTGCCTTCATTAATCTGTACCCTGTGTATGCATTGGGAGCTCTGATAGCATAGTGGCTAAGACACTTGCCTGCTAACCAAACGGCTGGCGGTTCAAACCCACCAGCCACTTCTCGGAAGGAAGGTTGGGCAATCCTACTTCCGTAGTGATACTGCCTCGGAAACCCAAGGAGGGGTCGCTATGAGTCGGGTTTGACTCGAAGGCACATAACAACAACAACAACGTGTATGCATTAGGGTCCTCCTCACACTTCAGATGCTCCACACCAAGGGTAATCCTCTGCTGCTTCTGCCTCTGTCTCTCCTCTCCCGACAGGTCCTGGGCCTGGGCCTGGGGAGTGGACCTGCGTGGGCAAGGATTACTCAGAGTTCTAGAATAGTAGAGACCCCAATAGAAGTGCAAGAGAGCCCCCAGACAGAGGGTGGAAGAGTCAGAAGGAAGAGTCAGATCCCACAGACACAGGGGTGGCCCCAGAGACTCAGAAGCGGTGAGCAGGGTTAGCCTCCTGGTTCCAAAGCCACACTCCTGAGTGGGAGAGTTTGAGTGGGGTGCAGAGCCCACATTGCCTCTTGTATGCTGAGGGGGTGTGCCTCACAGGTTGCTTAGCTGTCCCAGGATCCCTGGCCCCTCCATTCCTGTGAAGGTCCCTAACCTCCCCTTCCCAACATCCCCAGCCCACTTGCGCTCTATCTCAAGAAAGAAGACCTGAATCTATACCTGCGACTTTGCTGCACCCTTCACTGTGTGGCCTGGGGCAAGTCCCTGCTCTCTCTGATCCATGCTACCTGCCTAACTTTGGTGATGATAGTGATCACCTGGCTGGGACAGGGCACACACAGATCACCATCACCACTTCCTCTCCCTCCCACCTCAGGTTGCATACCCCAGGTGCTTAAACCATCAGCTCAGCCTCTCCCTGGAGATTTACCTGATGCACCCACCCACCCTGCACTTGGCCCTTCTCAGTGGCTGTGGAGTAGATAATCAGTCAGAGAGGTGTGTGTATGGTGGGGTTGGGGGTGCTGGCTGGTTGAGCGGTTGCCAGAGCCCCTTGGATTTACAGCTCAGAGACATGGATTCCAGTCCCAGCTATGTGAGTTTGGATGAGACCTAACTCAACCACTTTCTGCCTCAGTTTCCTATTCTATAAAAGGATTAATAACACCCATTTCAGGAGGTTGTTGTAAAGATTATACAGGAGACCAATGCATTTGGGCAGCGCCTGGCCAATGGTAAATGCTCGATAAAAGACCAGAGCTCCCCAATAAAAGACAGCTGCGTTATTAGTTTCAATGCCAGTCTTGAGCTTCTAAACTGGCGCTGACTCAGCGCTCACAGGTTGGGCGATCTGCAGCGTTGCTTAGGAGGCGTTCCACCATAGTGAAGGGCAGGAGGCTTGGGAGGTCTACGCGCCTCTCTCCTGCCCCAGCTCTTTCTCAACCACTGATCCAGCCCCTCTCTGGACCTCTGATCCAACTCCTCTGGCTCCTAGCCCCTCTCCGGGCTGTCTCTTTAGCCTCTCTTCCCACGGTCGCCCTCCTGCGGCCAGAATGTGCTCCAGGGACTGCAGAGTCTGGAGTACAGCCCCGTCACTCCCCTGTGCCCGTTTGCCGGGAACCGCCCTGAGCCTCCCTTCGCCCCTTGAGGGGCGGGTCAGACCTGGGGCGCCTTAAAAACCCGAGCTGGCGCTCACATCGCAGCGACTGTGATCAGGATTCTACATCGCCGGGCAGTCCTTGACGACCCAGCAGACACATACAGCGCCCTCCGCTCCATGGCCAGCAAGGGCTTGCAGGACTTGAAGCAGCAGGTGGAGAAGGCGACGCAGGAAGTGGGTAAGGACAGCGCGCGACCTGCGACAAAAACAGGAGGGGCCTTTTGGATGCGCGGGGGCAGCTATCTAGAGTGTGCAGCTTGCAGGTCTGGCTGGGGCTTGGAAGGGCCCTCACCTGGGATGGAGGGCCCCACCGAGATCCAGCGAGGGGAAGAATGCCCCAGGCAGGCAAGGGAACTGCAGTGCCAGAGAAGCCTAGGGCCCACGCTTTGTGCATTGCCAGAGACAATCCGAGGAGGCTGCGAGGGCGGGAATTGCTCCACCTCGGTCCTTAGCTGCGGGTGAAGGTACACGCAGAGCGCCCGCCCCCGCCCCTGCCCTCTGGGGTCTCGGTGCACGGGGCGGGCGGGACCAGAATGTGGAAGACAGCTCCAGACCCTACTGGGCTTTGTTTCGAACCCCCCCCCCCCCAAGTGATCGTTTCCTTACTTTTAAGTCCTCACCCAGAGGACCTTATCCCCACAGTGAGAGAGGAAAGGTCCTTCTTTCAGTGCCCCGGGGCGTAGTTCATCCATCTTCAGCGCACTCCTCTTCAGAATCGAGGCTATACAACTGTAGGAGCCTAGGGGTGGGGTGGGGGTGGGGGGGTGTCCTAGGGGATCTGAGAAGACCTTGGGCCCACCAGGGTTGGCTCTCCTAGCACCTAGACCAATGTCCCTGGGAATCCAGCACCCAGCCCATCCTGCCCATATTCCAGTTAAGTGAGAACACTCAAATCAACTTCTCCTTCACCAGTACCCTAGAGAAGGCCCACAGTTCTTCCACTGACACTCAAATGCTACCAAGACCCCACTGTCCACAGGACCCTTTCTTCTGGCCCCCACTTTTCCCATTCGTAAGGTGGCTGAAAGGAGCACTGGTGATGCAAATGTTTAAGCAAGTCCTTAGCTGCTGAGCGAAAGAAAGGTTGGCAGTTTGAACCCAGCTTCTCTGCAGGAGAAAGGTCTGATAATCTGCTTCCATAAAGAGTAAAACCCTATAAGGGCAGTTCTAGTCTGTCACATGGGGTTGCTATGAGTCAAAATTGAGTCCAAGGCACACAACAACAAGCTGGATGCAAAGGCTTCTCTGTGACTTCCTGTCTAGGAGACAAAGACCAAGAGCTTCAGGGACCTCTGAGCAGACCCAGGGCCTGCCTACCTTATCCCCTAGATCCCCAAGAATGGCCCTGTCCCATTCAATAGCATGGATGAGTCACATCTCTGCACCACCTACCTCACCACCTGAAAACCCTGTGGTTAATCCACAGGCAGAAACTTTGGTTGAGAGGAGATGCTTGGCCTTGGGAGTTTCATCTTTTCTCTGCTTTGACCCCTTAAGCTGCCTGTTCAATGGCATCATCAAATGATGCCCTGTGGGTGGCCCATAGGAGGGAGGATGTGGAACGTTGTTAGGTGCTGTGGAGTTGCTTCTGACTCATAGTGACCCTGTGTATAACAGAACAAAACACTGTCCAGTCCTGCCCCATCTTCATAGTTGTTGCTATGCTTGAGTGCATTTTTGCAGCCACTGTGTCAATTCATCTCATTAAAGGTCTTCCTCCTTTTCCCTGACCCTATACTGTCTTGAAAGAAAGACAGTCAGAATGTAAGGATGACGAGACTTTGTCTCTTGTACTTTGGTCATATATCAGGAGGTTGCGACAGAGCCTTGCAAAAGTTGAGGCCATAGGACCAAGTGCATGAATGGTGGGAATTCAGATATCTTGACCAGGCTGTTAGGAAGAAGTAGTTAAAGGGGCAGGGGTCTTCCTGGGCCATGCCCAGCAGCAGCTCCAGCCCAGATGTCAGCTTCAGCTCAGGCCTGCCCACTTTCCTTCTTCTCATGGACATTTTCTCAGCAATCTTGGAAATGGGATGGGAAGTCAGCCAGAGGGGAGGGGCCCAGAGTTATAAACAAACAAGAACAGCCCAGAGGCATGGAAAGAGCTATGTCCTTTACTGCTTGGGTGGCCTTGGGCAAGGGGCTTCACCTCATTGGCATGTACCCACAGGCCTGTAGGACAGACTACTCTAGAAAACATCTGTGGGGCTGGCATCTGGGTGTGGGAGTGGGGCTGTGATCAGTGGGGCCTTAACAGTGGCTAAAGGACACATCTCTCTTTGTTCCAGTGACAGCAACTGGAGCAGCAGCACAGCAAGTGGTGGATCAGGCCACAGAGATCGGGCAGAAAGGTCTGATGGGCTGGAGGGTGGGCAAAAAAGGCCAGGCTGCCTCAACCCAGTCCCCACTCCCCAGGCACCCCTCTCTCCTCTGGAGTCTCCTCTACCCACAGTACTCTGAAAGAGACTTCCTGGGGAGGGAGACCCAGACCAGGCTGCCACTGTGGGCACTGACTGGGGCTGGTTCCCCAAGGCCCTGCTTCACTTGCCCTCTCCTTTCCTTTCCCAGCCATGGACCAGGTGTCCAAGTCCACCCAGGAAACCATGGACAAAACTGCTAACCAAGCTTCGGAGGCCTTCTCAGGTTTCGGGAGAAAACTGGGGCTCCAGAAATGACAGAACCGAGATACATGGAGTGTGACCCTCCTTCAGCCCTGTCCAGCAGAATGTGGCTCTGAGCTCTCTGGTCAGCCTGCCCCCTTGGCCTACCCCTTCATTAAAGCACATGTTCCCATTTTGTATCCATTTTATTCCTCCAAGCTGGGCCTAGTCCTCCCCCCACTGAAGAGCAGAGCCCCCATATCCACAATCCCAGCCACATATCAAATCCCTGGCCTCCCAAATTCAGAAACTCAAACGAATGTACTGTTCAGGAGCCAGTTTCCTATCACTGTGATCCTGAATCTAAATTCAACCTCCTATCTAGGATGTGCCCCACCCCCCATCCATCCAGGAGTCAGCCTCCCTTTCCAAAGACACTCCCCTTGCTCCAGGAGCCTGGGTCTTTGGGGTAGGAGGTGCTCGGCCCCTAGATCACCGAGGGGCTAAGCTCTGTGAAAAGGGAGAAGGTCCGTGAGTGCCAAGCTTTCGGCCCCGCAGGGTGTAAGTGCTCTCTCCCAAGTCCACTGTGACTCACCACCCCTGAAGGGCCCGCCCAGTCCCCTTAGGAAAGGGGCCGCCAGCGCACGGGGCCTTGCACGTGAGCGTGAGGCTCACAACTTGAGCCGCGTGCGCGCAGGCGCACGGGGGGCAACAAGAGACTCCCTTCCTAAAGCGCCCTTCGTCGGGGGTGGGGCCAATAGCTTCTGGCCCAGGGCCAAGCTCAGGATTTCGGTAGGGCGGGCCCCCTAGATGGACTTGGGTTCCGCAAACATGACTTCCTCCTATCCCCCATCACATGTGCCCGCACGCGACATCTTCGCTGAGTCCGCCCTACTGTGGATGACTCCCGGTTGCTACAGGCTAATGTTCAGCCTTGGCGTGGGCGCTGGCCGCTGTGGCCCTTTCATCCGAAATCTCCTACCACACCTCAGCTAGGGACTTCTGGCCCCTTCCCCACCTCCACGCCTTTGTACATACACTGTATTCCCTCTGCCGGTAATGATTCTACCAATCATTGGGCACGCGTGTATTCAACAGTATTGACTATGCAGCACTTTGCAGTCCCGAGGAGGCTTAGAGGGAAACAGAGTCAACCTTCCCTTAGGACTCAAGACCTCCCCGGCCTGCCACCAGGGGGCAGTGGCTTCTTCCTTGGCTTCCAGCTCAAGTTGATTTAGGGGATGATCTGCTCGGAATGAAGATTGGGCAATCTACTTCCATAGAGATATCGCCTCAGGAACCTAAGGAGGGGTCGCTATGAGTGGAAATTGACTGGAGGGCAGTGAGTTTTGTTTTGGTTTAATTCTGCTCAGATCTGTGGTCTGAGATCTCTCCATTGCAGAAGAAGATGTCTCTTTGCTCATACTGCCAGTATCACCCACCCTCACACCAGGGCCAGCCTAGTTCCACACTTGGTTCCTTGTCCCAAAGAGGGCCTCCCGCAGTCTGCAAAGAGAGCCAAGTGTCTCTCCAGCCTAGAGGGACAGTCCTTAAGACACCTAGGGCAATTGGGCCGCTTCCAGCGTCTCATAGATTATATTAATAATCATAGATTATTGTTGTTAGTGTTACTTTGGGAACAGATGAAAGATGGGGAGAGGCCCCTCAGGCATGCAGAGAGGCAGGCGGCCTGTGGGAGAAGGAATAGGGTAGTCTGGTGTGCGTCCTTCCCCCACATAACACAGGGGCCCCTTCTGTTTTAGCTAACTATGGCAGTTAATGTTTTTCTCTTTGTAGGTGATCGTATTAGGGATGTAAATGTGGCCCAGTAAGGAGTCCTGGTGGCACAGTGCCTATGTGCTGGGCTGCTAACGGAAGGTCAGCATCTGTGGGAGAAAGATGTGGTGGTCTTCACATTACAACCTTGGACCCTTTTAGGGTACAATTTTACTCTGTTTTACAGGGTCACTATGAGTCAAAAGTTGATGTCAACGTTAGTTTTGTTTCATTTTTAATATGACCCATTCTGGCCTAGGAGAGGAGTGGTCAGATGGAGGGTGGCATGGGGGGAGTCTAGGAAAAGATTTTCATGCCTAATAAAAGGGACAAGGAAGAAGGAGTCCCCCATTCTCCACTGGCCATTTTTGTGGCTGGAAATGAAGCCTACAGCTGGGGAGCTATTTGCAACTACTGGAAGAAGGCGCCCAAGGAAAAACTCAGTTGCTGAGGAGGGCAAAGCAGCATTGTAGAAAGGACTTTAGTTGTCTAGTCGCTAAATCTACTGTTCCTGAGCTGCTTCACAGTTGTTTGAGCCACTGAATTAGGTTTTCTGTTGCAAATAAAAGCTGAAATCCTTGGATATTACCTGGACTTCAAGATCTTGCCCTCTGGGCATCCTCACCTCCCCAGGCTCCTCTGGAAGTATTGTCCCTCCTTCTCTATTTTGCCACATTGGCCCTTTTCATTTCCATTCATGATTGTGCTCCTGCTCCATCCTGGGTCTTTTAAGAGTGCTGCTTTTGTGCCTAGAGTGCTCTCTATCCTCCCTTATAAGCCACCCTGTCCAACAGAGGCCTATTCTTCCATCCTTCCGGCCTCAGCAATCCCCAGTCCCCCCAACATACACACACACATGCACACTCTCAGAATGCGTTAGGCCATTTCAGACATTCTCAAACCGCTCCCCACTTCTTTTGCAGATGTAAGTAATCGCTTTCCCTTGTGCTTATCTCTGATGGTTGTTCAGGACAGGGCTACAGCCAAGTCTGTTTTACTGATTAGTACATGCCTAGTCCTACCCATCTTAATAAATACCTGCCAGAAGGCTGGCGGTTCAAACCCACCAGCCACTCCTCGGAAGGAAGATGGGGCAATCTACTTCTGTAATGATACTGCCTCGGAAACCCCAGGAGGGGTCTCTATGAGTCAGGTCTGACTTGACGGCACATAACAACAACAGCAACAAATGAAGCATAGTGCCTAAGGCACTTGACTGCTAACCAGAAGGCTGG